CCCCCCCTCCCACATCTGTGGGCTTTTATGTTCTCTTCTTCTTCCAAGCTGTTACAGAGGACATCTCTTAACGCTGTATATCAGATTTATTTCTCAGTCACCTTTTTCTTACCGTGCTCGTATTCTTTGTCTTCTGCTTCACTCGTCTCCCAGTATCATGGTCGCCACATAATCATTAATGTCTCTAGATCCAAGTGTGAATACTTTTGTCTTCTCTGTATTTGATATGGAGGTGTGTACTTTTCATGAAATGTATATTGTTGATCTCATGGGATGGATGGATGGTGTGTACAGTCCGTTAATGTAAAACCACGTCTGTTTCCTCCTCACCAGAGAGGGAGGGAGGGAGGGAGAGAGCAGGAGAGAGAGAGAGATGTATTTACTATGTGTCCCTTTTGAACAATTGGTCCAACATGTTTTTTGAAACAGAGGTATTTCTCTACAGGTCAAAACAGTTGTAGCAGTTTATACAGTATGTTGTATAACATCTTTTTTCTAAAAGTCGTCTCTGAAGTGAGACCAGCAGCATACACTATGTACAATAGTCTAAATTGGATTAGTTTTAAGAGAACTGATGATAGAGATACTATATATGATGGATGCAATATGATTAAAGGTACTCATTGAGTTTGATCTTCAAACTTAGGTTATGTAATTTAAAGCATTCTTGTGAAGTGAGTATTAATTGTGACTAATGAGTCTGTCCTGAATATTCTTTGTATTTTGCCGTATTGAGAATAAAATATATATGGATATGTTTAATTGAATGTTACTATTTTGTTTTAGAGAAAGCAAAAGAGGGCTTGAGTCATCTCGTCTTCAGCGACGTCGGAACCTGTTAACCTGATATTTAAGTTGGCCAACGGGTGGTGTTTGGGGAAATAAGAAAGGTATAAATAAGGGAAAAGTTCCTGACTACCTAATTAAGACAATTGTTTTTATTTGTACATAATTTATTGAACAATTAACGTAAAGATGCCCTGAAGGTATTGTAAACAAATAAAATGAATGTTTATAGTCACTGTTACTCAAATAAAACACTGTCTGCCTCCTTATGTACTCCATAGTGCTACTGGAGGCCAGGAACTTATTTTTACCATAAAACTGATGTGGAAACACAGCTGGACATGAAGTAACACTTTTCATAAAGTCCAAACAAATGACATAGGCAACGCTGTCTGAACATTTTCAATTGGAAATAAGCAGGAAATGTCGGCTCATTTTTAATTTACGTACTAATAGATAACCCATTGTATTTCATAAACCCATAGGTTTTGTTTATAATAACTTTATCTGCTAGGTAACTCCTGTAGTTAATTAAATGTAATTGAGTAAAAAGTATAATATTCCCCTCTGAGATGGAGAAGTATAAAGTCGCATGAAATGCAAATGCCCCAAGTAGAGTACAAGAATGTAAGTAAATGTACTTAGTTACATAGCTACTGCTAATTAGAGTGTACTAACCTACTGGTGCAGCAGTGTGTGACCTGTGTTCTAGTTTCACTTCTGGGCTCACACATTATTCTGACAACAGGGCTGGCAGGTGCTCAGTTCTGAGAATAAATTGCCACCAAGTGGTCATGAGTTGCTACTGTCGTTGCTGTTGTCTTATCTTTTTCAGCCTTGCCATCACTGGATTGTTATTACATTCACTATTATTGTTGCTGTTGATGGTCATGATTGCAGTGGAAATGCAATCATGTCATTGAAATGATGACAGTGTGAACAGGAAAGACGGATAAGTACTTCACAGTCCTACAGGTGATACGTTGAAAGGTTTCCTGGTTGTAATCTAGAGGATAAAAAAGGTATAAAGTTTAACACGGCAATCCTGTACAGTTATTTGTACATACAGTAGATGTTTTTATGGTCGGATTGATGGTTTTAAAATGAAGAAAAATGTACATTACAGATTACAGGGGAAGTAAAATAAAACAAACTGGATCCAAGTCATATCTGTCTTTTGTTTTTTTGCCACTATATTAACGCTTCTCTCATAATTACATTATTTTATACATATGTGACTTAATGTAATTGGAACTAATTGTAAACCTGCCCTAAATATAAAATCTATAATATAGGCTATAAAAGCATCTGTTCCAATATGTCTGACATTCAATAGCAACAACAAATATTTTCTTGCAGGATAAAATAAGAGTATATTGGTGGTGGCCTAGAAGATGTTCATATTTAGTTCTTCTACTGAATCCTGAGCCACCCAAACAAAGCAGCCTCAGTTGTCTATTTTAACAAGAAATAGATGGTGTTTGGGTAATCTTTCTGTGCATGAAACAAAGGTATTCAAAGTAGTTTGTATAGCTGTGCATTGCAGAGCCTCTTAGGAGTGATTAGCTCCTTCCAATCCACATTGCGCTGCCCTGAGAACATTAACTCTTATGGAGACTGATGCTTTTTTTTTCTCTCTTTATTTTGCCTTGACAGTTTTTACTTATTCGAAAGATTAGTATTTTCCTTTACAGCATGAATATTTAATTTGTTAAATAATTCACTTACACCACATGGGTTTCAGTGAGTTTAGTAGCCTAATGTCACTGCTCTGGTTAAGCTTCTGCCTCTTTCCAGTGAACTACAGAACATCAAAACAATACAGAGAAATTCCCTTTTTCCACTGCTCCGCCATTGACGCAAACGGACCAATGGCGTGTCGTGTAATCCTAAACGTTCCCGCCTCCCGCCGCATCTGATTGGTCAACGTGGTCATCTGTCACCTTTCATCCGCTTCTCCCTCTTCAGGGAATAAGGTGAGCTAACTGCGAGCGATGGAAAAAGGAAAGCTCATTACCGGGGTGGGCGGTGAGGCACGTTAGCCGACTACAAAAAAAAAAAAAAAGTGAATCTGTCCGTTAATTTATGTTGTTGTTTTTACCGTAATTCACTCGAGGAGAGGAAAAACGCACCCGAGAGAAACCAGGAGTTGAACGCAGCGGAGTGACCGGGAAGTCAGCAGGTACGTGAAGGGGACTTTGGTAGCAGCAGGTGCATCCAGTATCGCTGTGGCTCTGCAGTTTCGGTTGTCAACTGTCAAACCTGTTGCAGACTATTTCCAGTCAAAACAGCTTCAAGGGAATCGGTAATACTTGTTTTAAAAGTTGTGCTTCTCGTCAGGAGTAAAATAAAAGCTACAGCTGATCTCAGTTCTGTTTGGAGCAAACGCAATTAGTCCTTGTTGGTGTTCATTGCGGTTGATTCTATTTTTGAAAATATCAGGCTGTTGCTGCTTCATTTTCATGTTGTAACTTAGTAGATAAATTGTAAGTTTTGTCACTTAAAAAAATATCTTAAAATATGTTTATTCTCGTGTTGGAGGCCTTCTAGGGCTGCAGTTTGGTTTCCTCATATTTGTTTTATCTTTAGCTATAACGTGACACGTTCAAATGTATCTTAAATAACAGATGATATTTTAGAAAAAAATATAATTCTCAGTTCACACCTTAAATTTGTTTGGATGTTTACAAGCAAGTCAATGTCCCCTAATAGCAGAGTCATTGATGATGGAGATGATGGTTAGTGGCAGGTTGCAGCCCTGTAATGGATATTGTGAACTGGATTCAAACTGCAACCCAAACTACTGTTATCACCACATTTAATTGCCACTTTCATATAATTTCTACGTTGCACATAACTTCTGCAATATCAGTTGTCCGACAGCACTGTGAGAACAGCACTCTATTGTCCTTCCTTAACCTTACCTCCTCGCCTCAAATTGATACCTGGCCCTGAATTATGCACAG